GGGGAACCAAGTGTATTTAGGGATAACCTTGGTGTTGATTTTTTTAGAAGGGAGACAACGAACTCAAGCAACAGAAAGTTTCAAGCAATGAGAGTGGTACTCAAAGGACAGTAAGAATAAAAATCTAAGTCATAGAGGTGGTGATGAAAAAGAATGTGGGATTTTAACAGGGATCAAATGCATGCTGATATGGATGTAAGATATGAAGATTCTTCATATGGCCTTCGAGTCATGATATTTCTATATTGCATTATGCTTGTGTGTTTGTTTAACCTTAATATTGGGTTATGAATTTGCAACGCATATGATTGAACTTTCATCTTGAAAGATGGTGTGGGATCATGTCATATGTTTGTGTTTGAAACTTTATGGACTCGCAATAATGCAAATCTTAATTGGTACATAGTACATAGCGTATTGATTTTATATTTGTTGAAATATTTTGAGGTTTATGTGTTGATCAAAAATACCAATACTTCAAAATAATCCCAGAGATAGCAAAAGCTAACACAACTAGCTCCATTAAAGTGATTCATTTCAGTTTTAAGCAGATTTAACCATCATAGCCTCATAGGGAAAATGATATTGGGACTTAGGGGGGTGTTCAGCAAAATTCATCTTACTTAGCATTATGCTTTTTTTGGCACCTGACTCAAAACAACATTGTAAAAAGGTAAGAGTGGTGGATTACGGAGTTCAATAACAGCGGATTTTGAATAAGCAATACGCTCATAAAAATGCTGTCTTAGAACTGTTAATAGGATTAACAATTTGAAAACATCACTTTAGTTTTACTTTTTAGCATTATGCTAATTGCTAAGTAACCAAATATCTTTTTAAAATGGTCATTGCTAACTGTCCACCAAATCTGCTAAACAAACTGTTAACTGCTTTGTGTTATCTCCTAATCGTTGTTTGTGATGTGCCCCTTAAAGCAACACTCCATATGAGTTAACTAAAATCTTGGAAGGTCAAAATTTACCTTTTCGAAGAGAAATGTACCTTCTCAGTTCACCACAGAGGTTTAAATGGGTATACTTGTGCTTTCACACAAAAAGGAGTTCAATCTATATGGGTCAATGAAACTCTTTGAAAGGCAAGACATGAACAAAGTTTAGGACTTGCAGAGTATAAGAGTATTCAACCTCAAGTCCAGCTAGTGGCCTTGAAATGTATGCCTTGATTATTTATCACACAACAAAAAAAGAAACTATATCATACCAAGCATAATAGACATAACCTTTCAGTAAAAAAAATGGGATCCAGTATGGCAGATCCTTGATCAATGGCCTCAGTAGATTCTGAGCTGCAATCCAGTGACCTAGAGCAGTAGATTCCACAAGGGGGGGTACTAACCCATTAGATGCCCCATAGTCACACAAGAATGCCACCAAACAAGCAAAAGGAAGGGGATGACGACGCTCCAGTATAGAAACCAGTGGTCCAGATAATAAAGTTGTGTTTGGGTTTGATTTAGAAGCTATGGGGCAACCAATTATAGGATTATTTCAACACCTACGATTAACTTAAGGCATGAATGCCCAAATAGACGAAAATAACGGATGGAAAATCACAAACTTTAACAAAAAAAAAACAAATCATTCACTCGTATACAGTTCGAAAAACAAAATCACAGGGCAATTATAATACCATAATTGGGTTGCCCATAGCTCCGAAAGTCAAATCCAAAATTGAATCGCCATCTGATAACGAGATCTAAAAATGGGAAAAAAATTGCGAAACAAACTCAGTCTTCGACTTCAAATTAACGAAAACAAAATTAGAACGAGAAGTTGCGAATTTTTCAGAATTAAACCTTATACTCCGCATATATAATGGATCTCCGCATCAGGGGCGAGAGACAAAGGCGGCTCTAGGGTTTTACTCTCGCTGCATCCTCCACGGCGTAGCTGAGTACCGCAATGAGTCTTGATCTCATTTATTTAATTAGGCAAATCTTCTTTTGGAATATTTCTTAATGATTCTTAATTATGAGCCTCCCATCACCGTGAAAATTAAACTTTGATCACAAATTACGGAGTAATAGAATTAATGAAACTTGCACCTCTCTAATTGGACTCTACTCGTATATAGAGTATTTTATTAGAACGGTTTGATAGAAGAAAAATATTTTTATAAAAATTTCTTTTCTAATTTGTGATAATATAAATGGGATAAAATATTTTCTCAAATTATTTTCATTTACTTTAGAAAGAAATTTACTATTTACTCTATGCCCCTTACACCCCCCCATCCCACCACCCTGCCCCTTCCACCCTAGTCCTCCCTTACCAGGCCACATGCCACCTCCCAGTCTTACAACTTGCCACTCACCCTTGTCTCGTCCACCGACTCTTAGATTGTGGAGCTCGATTAATATTTAATGTATTGTCATATATTAATGTTCACGTAGTTTAACTTCATGACTGTATGGACCTCGCGCCACTTACCTCAACCCCGACTTTTCAACGTGTTTGGACCCCTAAGAACTGTAGAAATTGAACATTTAAACAACATTGGCACCATATAGGGATGTTATGGATGTTCTTTGACGAATATTAAAGCCGCCTAATTATGCAAAATATTGTAACACTTGTAGAAGGATAGTATTAATCAGATAAGTACAAAAAGGCTTGGATCTACATCGATTATCACTCAACTAACTCGTTAGACAAATACAGTCACGCTTGGAGGTATATATATCAACTATCACTCTACTAACTCGTAACTATATGATTCCAACACCCGTACCCGCTTCATGATCCATGAAAGTTTCATTCATGCCCCCCCTCTAAGTGGGTCATATGCATGGTTGTATCATTTTTTATGTGCTCACTCTCATCCCTGCATATATATTTATATGTTTATTAATTTAGACTTAGTTTCAATTACTTGGGTATGATACATTTATATTCAAGACGTGTAAAAATTTTGTTTGATTTGTTTGTCTAATTTGAATTACTTGATCGATTATAAAAAACACGCAACGACACAATATAATTAACAAAATAATTTAACTATTTATTGTTATTAAATAATAATGTATGTATGTGTGTGTATAGTATAGTATGCATATGATACGGACCGAGTGGACTCGGACCGCGGGGAACAAGCTGGGCCTGTCGCTCCTACGGTGGTGCGACGGTCACAAAGGGTCGTTGGGCCACCCCAACGATACAAGGATTATATTCGTCGTTAATTACCATTTTTGTCGTTAATTATTATTTTTATTCAATTATTCAAATCATTTATTTGTACTCTAGATTTTTATTAGGTGAGCGAAACTATAAGCTCCTTCAAGGATTTTCTTTTCAGTTATTTCCCTTGACGCCTTTTTTGAACCGACAGGGTAGGATTAGGGTTTTCTTTATTTCCTATAAATATGTCTCGAATCTATCAAGCAATGCATGGGAATAAGAAATTAGAATAGTTATAGTATTATCTTCTCTCTAGCTTACCTTTGGTTACGTACATCAACCCTAGCGGCCGTCATCTCGTCGTCCGCCGATCGACCCTTATCAGTATACTCACGTAGATGTCTCTTCCTCTATAGCATGCAGTTGATTAACGTAAATTTTCTTAATTACATGACACTCAACATCATACATCATAGCAGATCTGACTACAAACTAGTAAAATTTATCTTTCATCCTATTCGAAATCTTAGTAGCATGTAGCTTATTTAGATATTTACTCATTGCACATTTTTCATAAGTGGTTGGATATTTGGGAATAAACAATTAGATCAAGCAATATTTTCTTCACCTGACCTACTTAGAGTGGATATGAATGATACTTTGATGGACTATGAAGCGTATATGCGTGTAAAAGTTATGCAATAACGAGTTAGTGGAGCGACTTTTGATATAGCTCCAAGCATGTCGGGTATTTACCTGATTAATACCATCTCTCTACAATTTTTCAATAATTTTGCATATTTGGTTGGCTCTAATATTTCAAAAATATGCAAAGCTAGGAACCTTTCTCCTTTCTAATACGGTTAATAAAGTAAGCTTTCAAGTCGCCACCCTTCACTAGAATGAGCGGGAGCAATGAACTAGATCAATATTGTGAATGAACTTCAACTTGACTTCAAAGTCATCTGGTAAATATTGTGAATCTAAAATAAATTAAAATTAAGTGTTGAAAGCATAAAAAAGAAAAAATCTAAACCGTACAGGTTCCGACTAGTTTACCAAAAAATTAAGAGTTGAAATCTTTACCCAGAGATTCAGGGCAGCTTTTATACTAGTTTTAGTTTGAAACCAGAACTGCATTCAAGTATAAACATAATACGAGTACTTGGTAATAGAGCATAGAGTATTAAGAGTAAATTCCTGAAAAATCTTTTTAATGCGATATTTTTTTAAAAAATTAGTTCTCAATAAATAATAATTATCAATACGGTCATTTGTAATTGAGATGTATTCTATAGATAGTCCTCCGTTGAAAATGTATACTATATCCAATAACAGTTAAGCAGATAGTATTTTTGTATTTTTCATCTTCTAAACTATGAATAAGTCTTTTAAAATGGTCTTGTCAAATTAATTTGGTGGTTACTAGAGGAATGGATCTACCCTAATAGATTCATGGACTCCATTTCAAAAAAACATTTACTTAGAAATTATAATTTTTTTGATAAAATACTTAATTATATATGAGCATTTTGTCAACATCTTTTAAATCTAGATGATAAAAAATAACAAAAGTTTATTTGAATGATATTTAAAAAAAATTGTGACAGAAGACCGTTTAGAGAATAAATTTAAATTACAAAATATCACACACCTAATTACTCATTTACTCCATATTACTTATTAAAATTGATGTGAGAAAAAACATCTTATTAGAAAAGATGGTTTTTAGAATTCAATCCAGTATTAAATTTAGAAAACCTTCGCTTTTAAAAAATTTTGAAAGATCGATACTCAAAACAAAATAATGAAACATTGATTAAAAAGTGGTCATAATATAATTAGAGGTTAATTACTCCGTACATTACATCCAACAACCACTGTTCACCGTTGTTCTTTCTTCCTGACCAATCAACGCCTCCGCCCCCTTTCCTCCTCCCATTTCCGCCCAATTCTTCCGTTCCACAACCTTTTCCCCTCGATTCTTCAAGCCTCTGCTGAATTTCATCTCCTCGCTTCCAATCCTGACTGGGTTGCCGGCCGATGAGATGGCCGTGAACCTCCCGGATTCCTGCTCGAGGTCCATCAACGAGACGGTGAATGGGTCCCACAAGTTCACCATCCGGGGTTACTCTCTGGCCAAGGGCATGGGCATCGGAAAGTACATATCCAGCGACACTTTCTCCGTCGGCGGGTACGATTGGGCCATCTACTTTTACCCCGACGGCAAGAACGCCGAGGATTCTTCCGTCTACGTCTCCGTATTCATCGCGCTTGCCAGCGAAGGCACCGACGTCAGGGCTCTGTTTGAGCTCACGCTGATGGACCAGAGCGGGAAAAGAAGACACAAAGTTCATTCCCATTTCGATCGGTCTCTTGAGAGCGGGCCGTATACTCTGAAATACAAAGGAAGCATGTGGTATGTTTGTATGTATGTGTGCTTATGCTATGTATCCTGGTTTCCTCTTGGAATGATTTGTGATTGTGTTCATGGGCCGCATTTAGGGTTTTGAATTCATCTGTTTCATGGCACCATGTTAATTGCACATATGCTTATTTCATGGGTTGTGGCGCATAATTGATTATTGAACTCCTACATGTAGTTCAAAAATTTGTAGTTTTTGTTTCCGTCTGTTGTTCCGTTTAGCTCACCTATGTTCAAAATCACAACATATACGCGTGGTGTATTTATGCCTCAAAATTCAAGCTTGTTTGCTTGATGTATACGATCTAGTCATTTAGACTACATTGGAGTCTAGCTGATGAACTCCCGATTAAGCAGCTGTTTATTGGTTTGATGGTGATATCCCTAGGTTCTTCTATATGTCTTCTTATCTTGCCCGGTTCTCAAGCATTGAGTCCTTGTAGATTATGCATAGCATGTGTACATTCTAGAAGGGTAAATGCTTTTAAAGCTCACGGTCCACAGGGTCAAGTCCATTTGAGATGTTCATTTTCTTAACAACATTGCCTCACAAACTCCCTAGCTCATTCCCGAAAATTCATCTTGGATTTCCAAACTTCTATCTTCTGCTATATCAGGTTTTTACATCTCCAGCTTGGCAAGGTTTCCTCCTACTATGTATCCCTACATACGTAGCAGTTTTTTAATGGATTTGATCATTTTAAGTATGTCAGAAAATGACAGTCATCTCCAATTTGTTCTAGGTTCGGTAAGTATATATAAACATACCACTGATTGCCTCTTTCTATGTATATGTGCTAGATATTTAAGGTTTTAGATTAGTCTATGATTTGGTGCTCATCTTTTTGCTTTCTTTTCCTTTGATTGTTTGATGCTAAACTCAATACATGTTTTTTTTAATATTTATTATCTTACCAATCATTTATATTTTGTTGATCAAGTGTAGGACATACTTACGCAGGCTCATGGAGATTCCATCCTTTTGGGTCTTCTGGTCCTTAAATTCAAATACATTTGTTTGCATATTTTTTGGACTTTATTGTCAAAACTCTCTTGACTACATAGATGATTCAAAAAATTTAACTGCAATGTACCCTTTCTAGTTTCTACATTGCTCATGCAAATCAGATGCATGTAGCGCAAGGAAAGTAGTTGGATTCAATCTTAGTATGTAGCACAATGTTTGCACTTTGCACACAAAATGGACTCGCCTGAAAGGAATCTGAGTTCTTTAAACTTGGAAACAAACTAATATCTAGAATAATTAAAAAACTTAGAGTTAGTTGAGATGCAAACTTGAATATATTGCACAATAGTCTACCAGGAATAGTATATTAACAAAAGAAATTCTGCAGTTCAAGATTTGAGAACAAGTTCTGGTATTTGTAGTTTTATCTTACTTCCTAGCTGCAGACATAGAGTTTGGTTTGGCTTCTATATATAGAAACCAAAAGTCAGAAACCTCCCCCCACCCCCCACCCCCACATTATGGTGTTTTATTGCTGTTTTTGTGCATAGGAATAAGGAAAGAAAGAACATTGCGATGCACTGGCTAATTTATATTCTTCCTTGAATTGCAGGGGGTACAAGAAATTTTTCAAGCGTGCAAATTTAGAAGCCTCTGATTATCTTAAGGACGATTGCCTATCAATGCATTGTACAGTAGGAGTTGTCAGGACTCGGGTTGAAGGGCCAAAACAATTTAGCATTTCTGTTCCTGCCTCAGACATGGGCCAAAGTCTCAAGTACTTGCTAGATTCAGAAGTTGGTTGTGATATAGTTTTCCACATCGGAGATGAGACATTTAAGGCTCACAAGCTAATCCTTGCTGCTCGTTCTCCTGTCTTCAAAGCCCAGTTTTTTGGTCTTGTTGGGAATCCTAATACAGAGAAAGTAGAACTTGAAGATATAGAACCATCAGTATTTAAGGTAATTTTATAATTTTCCGAAACAATTTATTTCTTCGTTTATTTGATAATTTTATATTACTATCCATTATCCACAACTTAGAAGTTTCTTTGCAAGATATCAGTATCAAGTGTTTACTACTACCCCATTTTCTATTTATTTTTCCACTTTTTGATTGTTTTAGCATTCTTTTTTATTTTTCAATTTAGCCAATTCATTGGACATTAATCCCCCCCCCCCAATTTTCCCCTAATAATGAGCACATTTGAAAACAGGAAAAGAGAAGGTAAAGCATATTGTATAAAATGTGTGATGAGTTCATAAATAAGGGTGATTTTTTTTTAAAAAAAAAAAATGCGATAAGTTGTGCTTAACTTGAAAAGTCTGCAATTCTGCATATTCTGTACAAAAATTTCTGAGTTTCTCACACTGAGTAAAATAACTATTGGTGGGGTTATTCGAAAATTTGTAGGCTATGCTTGAATTTGTTTACTCCGATCAGCTTCCTAATATACATGAAATTACCGGCTCACCATCAACATGCACTTCAACAATCATGATGCAACATTTATTGGCTGCAGCTGACCGGTTTGGTCTAGATAGATTGAAACAACTATGTGAGGCAAAACTATGCGAAGGGGTGAATGCGGATACGGTGGCAACAACTCTTTCACTAGCTGATCAACACAGATGCCTCCAGCTAAAAGCCATATGTTTGAAGTTCGCAGCTACAAACTTAGGAGGTATGTCTTATTGTAAGATGCATAGACTGAATGGCTAACTATCAATTATCTTATTTTAATAAAAAATATTGAGAAATGACCAACAAGCAAAATCTTGTTGACATGATTACATTTGATTCAATGATCTTAGTCAAAATGATAAAACCTTGGAAGTTACCCCAGAAGTATATGGAATTTTTGTGTGTTAACTAATTATACATTTGTTGTCTGCAACTTTCTAAAAAAAGGGTTTGTATTTAATGTTAATCCCTTGGAATTTATCCCTGTATGGTGATATAGCATGTTGATTCATCTGCATAACCTTTTTAAGAGCGGCCCACTTGTATCGTATAGTCCGTTATTAGTTATAACACGCATGGAAGGGGAATCACAATTTCTTTCCTTAATTCAGAAAGTGAAAAATTCTGTTTTTGGTACTTGGAATTAAAATTATTTGAGGAATTAAAGTTCCAGACTACTTATTCCCTTTCAATACATCATACACTAAACATCAGAATTGAATGCCAGCCAATTTTATTTCATTCTACTAAACATTAGAATTTGGAATCCTTCAATATTCATTTCCCATGCCCCATGGAATGTAAGTTCAATTCCAACAATATTCCTTTTCATATAACCAAGGAAGCCGTTAAACAACATTACCTCAGTGCCTCAAAGGCTCTCGCGCATTGTGGGGTGGGGGGGGGGTGGATGTACACAACATGACTACTATGTTTAAGACATAGAGCGGCTGTTTCTAGACGACCCATGATGAGTGTTGAATGTTGCATTGACTAACTTCACTATCAAAAGAAGCACATATAGTTTAAAGAGTCATTTTGCTATATTCCATCATACTCCAAAGCCAAAAAAATAGTAAATCTTTGGCTCCATGGACCAAGAGCATATCTGGATTAAGTGAGCCGTTAAAAGTGAAAAAGTTTATCACATATCATTTGTTTCATCCATGTAAAAACAGAAATAATCAAACTCTGTTAGTACAAGATATTGGGGGATGAGTTGCTTCTACTGTGCATATATACATACATCTCATGTCACTAAAACATTGAACTCTCTTAATCAACAGTTGTTATGCAGTCTGAAGGGTTCAAGCACATGGAGGAGAGCTGCCCGTCACTGCTGCCCGAGCTCTTGGAAGCCGTTGCAACCATTGACGAAAAGGCAAGTCTTCCCTCTTCCAAGAAGAGGAGCAGCAGCAGCATCTTTGGGGTAGACTTATTATCAGTACCCGACGGTGGTGGTGGTGGTGGTGGTGCTGCACCCAATTCTTTTCTTGATCATCATAATAACATCATGATGAGGTGTTTGAGGAGGAGAATGTGAAACAAACCAAAAAAAAACCCCAAAAAAATAAGACAGCCTTTATGATCTCTGGCTTTGCTGCTGTGTGAACACACTTTGCTATTGAGACTTGAACATGTTGTCTGTGCATGTGGTTGGTTAGGTATTAAGAACTCTGTGTGAATTGCTCATCTGCATCCTTCTTCTTTTAGACCCTTCTTCTTTTAGATATTCTAAGTATAGCTTATGCCACTTGTTTTTATCTCTGTTCTCCCCAAACAAAAAAAAAACATCTTGACCAATACCGGCACAAGTCACACACGTGTTATCCGATATCAACTTTGACGTTCCCCGGACGAGGGTGGTAGGGTTGCATAATAAGGGTGGTATCGTGCGAAAGTATAGAAAGTATATGTATACTATCTCCATTTCTAAGTAACTGTCTTTTGTGACTTCTGCGTACATTAAAAGTTGAATTAATGTAGACATACATTATGTCTACATTCATTTAATTTTTAACATACACAGTATCTAGAAAGTCATAATGACAATTATTTAAGAGCGTAGGGCGTATATCTCTCTCCTCTCCCACTCTCTCTCATGATATTAGCATAATGGCTTACAGGACAACCCGTCATCCGAACAAGATTACTCCATGTTGAAGCAACTTGTACATTCTTCATGACAATGCAGGCGGTGGGGCTGGTTGGAATCAATTCGGGCTGCCCGAGAAAGGGAAGTGTCTGCCCGTCCGTTGGTTTTGAAGAGTCACCGGAGTGTTGCCGGACTATGCATAGTTGGGGCGGTGTAAATGGTGTACTGATATATGAGGGTGTGGGCTGGTTACAAGCAAAGAGAATGGAATGCCATATGGTGTTTGCCTTATTGGCTGCTCAACTAAGTATACACAGAGTACAACTAATACATTTTTTGTTCAATTTTTTTTTTTTTTGGCAAATTCTCTTGTGGTTCTTGGGTCATTGAATCCGTGCTCATTTTATGTACCTTCGTATACAATTCTTTTTTTTATGTTTTAATTCTTGTAAAAATTAGGAGTTTTAACTATGAGCAGAGAGAAAATATGTAAGAAGTTACATATTTTAGATATGAACCTCAGGATCACAATAGCACAACTTTTTTTAGTTAACTAATTAATAATTTAATTTATTATTACTCCTCAAATAGGCCAAGGAAACGGATCACCCATAGAAAGGCCTGATAAAAAAAGCCCCACTAAGGTTGTCAAGAACAATTATTCAACGACCTATACTGATCACAAATTAAATATAACTTTAAATCCATAAATATTATAAAAATTTAATATATTAAAAGTACATTTTCATTCTACCATCCTTTCCAAACTAACTTTGGGGTGGAGGGAGTAACGTATTACTCCGAATCACACGAGTCTACTTTAGAATTTTGTAGTCCCACCGTTTCAAATTGAATTTTAATTTTTTTTTACGAAACTTAAACACAAAAGGAACACAATAGTACTTTAGTTAAGATTTATGCAGAAGATAGAAAGATAATGTGAAAAATTCAATGCATTGCTTAAAAGAAACATGAAAATTATTTTGAAAACAAAAGGGCACTCCTCTCTATGGGAGTACGAAATATCTGAACAGGTTTGGGTCTTGTAACGCATATATTAAACCCGACCCCGGTCTTGGACTCTTGGGTACGAGTCGGATTCCATTATTTTTTTAATGAGTTTATATTTGAAATTATCAAGAGAAAAAGACTAAAATAGGAGTAAAACATATAAAATATACTAAAACAGGACTTCCATATTTTTATTCCCGAAATATGAGTTAAAATGCATTTACATTACCAAACGTGGTCATGTACATTATCAAAAAGTATAGTAATGTGCACGTGTACAGTGCCAAATTACTTCAACATTACTATAGTACGAATTCCTATTTCGGGAATAACAACATGAAGTTATATTTTGATACTTTTTCTATGTTTTAGTCTTATTTAGGGTGATATCTAAATTATCAATTCCGATTAATTAACATGCCTACATAGAGTCAAGAGAATCTTATTAACATTTACTCATATAGGATTTGATTTAATGTTTTTGAAATTGTTTATATTTTATAAGGTCTATGCAAACACAAGGACACCCTTCTCTATGTACCTACGAGGATGTTTGTCTCAAGTGCCTTTTTTTTTTTGAAAAATAATTATTTTGACAACCAAATTTAAAAATATCTTATAGGTGTTAATTTCTCATTTTTTTTGTTTTTTGAGACTGGAAAAAGTTGAAATTCAAATAAAAAGAAATAAATAACAACCAAAAAAGTGTATATACCGAAATATGACCTTCATTGTTTTTATATCGAAACCAACTTTATAATTTCAAATAGTGTCAATACACAATACCAAAACATACTATAAAATTTACGGAGTAATACATATTACATAAGGCTAAATTGCGGTATCTCACTATGTCTTGTTCAGTATAAGTTTCATATTTTATTTTAAATTTTTATATAAATTTAGTATCAATAGGTTCATTTTGAAGTATAATTTTGAAATGCACTATTCTTAAGTTATAAGTTCTCTTGATAAAATAGTATTGGTGAGCGTTGTGCAGTTGGAAAAGGCAAGAAATGCCAAGAGAGTAAACTCACTACCACCAATCTGCGTTTAAATTCTAATTTAGATCTTCTCAGTGATCATCCGATTGAGTCTGAGGACCTTCGGGAATGAGACTCAATTTTTTTTTTCATAAAATAGCTAGCACGTAGATAAGCTACCTTATGAGAAGTTGACTAGTCCTTATTTAACCACGTGAAGAATGCTTCGGAGTGGTACTCTTATATTTAAAGCACCGACGCATATTTAAGAGTTAGGGCCTGAAGCCGTGTGATGGTAGTTGCACCCCAATGCCCTATCCATTTTGTTGTCCCTAAAAAAGTTTCATGTTTTGACTTTTTTATTTAAATAATAATATTTTTTTACTATAATTTGTAAGAAAAATATATTTAATTAGAATATAAATTCAATATAATTGTATTTATCTTAGGATATAGTTTTGATATATCAAATTTTTATATCATTTATTTATTTAGATTATGTTTAATTTGTGGTAAATAGTATCACTATTTGACCGAAAAAAGTCAAAAAAGAACAAGTTTTTAAAACGATAGGGAGTATTTTCACTAGTTTAAAATTTAAATTACTTGCTATATTTTTTCACGCATTTAAACAGAATAATATTGTCATTTCATCTCTTGTTTTGTAGAAGTATATATTTTTTGAATTAGTCTCTTTGTAAATTTTAGGAGTATATTTAATTTTACATCAAGTCATCAACATATACCAAGGAGTATGTATATATATTCGGGATAATTTTACAAATAATTTGAATTGTCAAGGGCTAATTCAACCAATAATTTATGTTTTTAGTTTTCCGTTCAAATGAGATTTTTATATTTTAACCCATCTTTTTGGTCAGTCTTTGCCGAGAATTCAATATTAAATCAAAGAATCAAATCAATCAAAAACTTAAATTTATAGATAAAAGTCGAGGGAAGATTTTATTATATTGAAACAAACCATTAAAATAACTTTATTCACCTATGGAGTCTATTTGGGGAGCGAGGTGAGGGAGTAAAACCAAAGCTCAACTGCCATGCATTTATTATGTCAAGTCCTTTTGTTTGTCTCATTATTGGAGAGTGGAGACAATGAAACTTAGGTAGTAGTGGTAAATTAAAAAAAAACAGTTTTAACACTGTCACAAAATGTCATATCAAAAATTTAAACTCACCTAATTTTTAAAACTTGCTCGTATAATAATAAGCAAATTCTTCTATAGATCTAAGATTCATGCTTGTTTTATAGATTTTGGTTTATTTAAAGAATAAGAGAAGTTAATCTTTTGCCAAACAAATTACTCGCTCAATGTTTACCACATTTTGAAAAATGAGGTAAAATATCAAATTTTTTCAATTCATTTTATTTAAATATTAGTACGAAAATAAGAAAATTACATATTTAAAAATTACATGACAAATTCTTTGAAATAAGGGTATCAAAGAATATTTTATTTGATCAAATAATCAATGAGAACGTACAAATAAACAAAACTTTCCCTGGTTCTTGAAAAAAGAAATTTGGTAATTATTTTAGGATGAATGGGGTATCTATAGAAGAATTTGCATATTGTCCCACTCACTTTCCCACACGTATAATATTTTATATATATATATATACATATATATATATATACACACACACACACATATATATAGATACATACATACATGCATGCATCCATAGATATATATACATACATACATATATATACATATATATATATGTGTGTGTGTGTGTGTGTATATATATATATATATAGACACACACACCACACACACACAATCCCTTCGTTCACAAATAAACTTTCCGTTGCACGTTACGATGTTTGACTGAATTTATTTTCAAATCATTTTATATGAAAAATGGTGTAAAATTTTAAAATAAAAATTACATATAAAAAATTATATCAAAAGATCTACAAAACTAGAGGTGACATGACTATATTATTTCATCAAATGGTTGACGAAAATAGGCCAACAAAATGAATAAAGTTTGACCCTGTGAATAATGAATGAGTAGTTTATTTGTGGACGAAGGGAGTATATAATAGTTTAAGTTTTTAGTTGTCCATTTAAAAAAGGTTTTTATATTTTAACATACTCTGCATTATTTAGGTCCCTACTCCGTATTTACCAAGGAGTTAAAACAACTTTGTTTATATATGTAGAGACAAAAGTGGAGTCGATTTGGGGAGTAAAACCAAAGCTCTATATATACTACTATCATGCATTTATTATGTGAAGTGCTTTTGCTTGTCTCATTGTAGACAATAATGAAACTTATATTACTCCCTCCGTCCGGAAATGTTCTTCCCGTGTTGACTTGGCACACTTATTAAGGAATAGTAAAAAAAATGCAAAATTTTCAAAAATGCACATACTATAAACTTTTGAATCTCCTTTTATTATTAAAAAAGTATTAAAAAAGTAGATTTGTGATAAAATAGAAGGGTATTATTGATATTTAGCCTTAAAAAGCATACTAAAAAAGGAAATGAGAAGAATATTTTCGGACGGACAAAAAAGGAAAATGGGAAGAATATTTCCGGACGGAGGGAGTATATCAATTAAAATTATTTAAGCATGATGCAAAATTTTAAAATTAAGTTTATAAATTTAAAACAACATAAAAAAACTATTTAAAGGAAAAAGTAACATGATAATATTATGTAACAAATAACAACAACAACAACAATTCAGTTAAATCTCACAAGAGTAGGGTCTGGAGAGGGTGTGTGTACGCAGACCTTGCCCCTACTCGAAAGTAGAGAGGCTGTTTCCAAAGAGACCCCCGGCTCAACGTCGAAAGTTGCATTGTTTGACTAACTGCTACTTCATTAATTAAAGAAGCGCATTGTTTGACTAACTGCTACTTCATTATTATGTAACAAATGATTAATAAAATTACTTATTAAGAATTAAAAACAAAGTTCAACATGTGAATATCATATGGTAGATAATTATTATTATTACGGTAATGTTTATTTGGGTTGGTTTTAATTTATTTGTGTTGGGATTACTTCGGATGTGATCGAAATGAATCTTTTGTCCGGTATACTTAATCAAAATATTATGTGGGTGTGTGAGGGGCCGCACATGTGGTTGAAATACAATGAATCTTTCCAAAATAATGGAGTACTACCTATATGTCCTCGAACATATGTCCAGATTTGACCTTTTTATTCAAAAAATTGATAAACTTTGATCATTAATTAAATAAAATATAAACTAGATATTGATAAGAGAGTAGTTTTATTAGATTTTGCTTATAAAATATATTAAAAAATACTATTTAATCAAAAAAAAAGTTAAAACTAGACGAATACTTGAAGGTAGCTAGTGTGTACTATATCTCTATATACGTACTTATATGCATCCACTTGACTACGCACTATATATATATATATATATGTTCCACTTGAGGACTTAGCTAAAAGCAGCAAACTAAGAGGTGCTAGCAGCTTCTATATATCCACATTTGTAGTTAAGCTATGGCTGGTGAAGTGGGAGGAAAGTTGAGTGTGGAGGTGGAACTGAAGGCCAATGCCAATAAGATTTGGGAAGCCCTTAGGGACTTCATCTACATCTACCCTAAAGCCTTCCCCCATGACTACAAAAGCGTCCAGGTTCTTGAAGGCGATGGCATCGCCGTGGGTTCCGTCCGTTTGATCAACTACGGCGAAGGAGGTAATAATTTTAATCACTTAATCATATTACTACGCAGTAAAAATATAACTGAATTAACTTATGAGTCCACCAAAATGTGGCATCCGTTTGTACACCAAGCCTTCATAGACACTCAATGTTTGTGCATGCACAGACATTGAGTTTATAAAAAAATGTGAAATTTGCAGTGGATAGGACTAAAACATAAATCATTTCCCAATGTAAGACTTAAACTTTTTTATTCCCTAAATAGGACTTAATAATGACTAGTCAGAAAAATAATGTCCAAGTGATGTTTGACATTTAGTTGAATAATGACTAATAGAAAAAGTCATTATATTTTAGTCTTATTTAAGTAAATTACTCTATATAAATAATGAACGTGAACATAATGTATGCGTATTTGTGTAGGGTCTGAATTGGTGAGAGAGTCAAAGGAGAGGATAGTTGAGGTGGACCCACCAAACAAGACATTTGTTTACAACATCATTGGAGGTGATCTCCTTAAGTACTACAAGAGCTTCAAAGCCCATGTGACAGTGGTGCCAAAGGAGAAGGAAGAAGAAGGGAGTTTGGTGCAATGGGCCTGTGTCTATGAGAAAGCCCATGATGAGATTCCTGACCCAAGCCCCATTATGGACTTTGCTGAGAAGAACTTCAAAGAGCTTGATGAGTACCTTGCCAAACAGGCCTAATTATGCTACTACAGGCCCACATCACCCATCCAGGTTGACATCATCAGTGTCTCATGTACAAATATGATTGGTCTCTGGTGGTGTTAACTTGGTGTCATCTGCGATGTTGGAGTAGCATTTTTCATATTGAAGTACGTTGTTGCATTTATGGGCCGGATCGGATTATTGTCGTCGTTGTCGTTGTAGTTGTTGTTGTCGTCGTCGTCATTGTTGTTGTTCTTATCATCATCTTTGCTTTCCCTAAAACGCGTGGGATTTAAGTTTCAGCTGTAATAATGGTTAAATAAGAAAGTATGAATTTGATGTATATGTCCGTTCCTCTTCTTGGTATTTTCAAAGATCAAAGTGAATAAAACTAGTATTTTTAATGCTACACTTTCATCATAAAACTAGAATAACAAGATATAAAAAAAATTGTCCTACAGGCTACAACATATATGATAAAATTAGCACATTCCGAAGGAGGCACATCTTTTTCTAGCGTGCATTGAAGAAAAAAAAGAACAAAGATGAGTGATTGAGAGAAGATTGATCGTTTCGGTTTTGGGTTTAGAGCTTCAAACTCAGCGATGAGTTTGAGAAAGGAGTGCGAGAGGAGGGAAGAAGCTTAATTGAGGAGAGAGAGTAGCGTAAATTTACAATTTTGTCCATGTTTTTTAATGGAAATATTAACAAAAAACCTTTCGTGGAAAATAATATCATAATTGGGAACTAAATTATTGATATTTGATATGTATGGACTAAATATGTAAAATGAACTATAACTGAATATCTTTTATGAAATTTACTAAAAAAAAGAATAAAGAGAAATAGTGTTATTTAAACAGCAAAATTTTGTACCCAAAAAAGAGAACATAACGAGTGAGATGTGGAGGGACGGGATCAAAGAGAATGAAAGTTTTCTAAAAATCAAATATCAAAGCCAGGTTTCGATCCTAGGACCTGTGGGTTATGGGCCCACCACGCTTCCGCTGCGCCACTTTGATTTGCTTGTTTAAACCGGCAATATTTTTATACTTTGTTTGTATATTCTTTTCCGCCAAAAAAAGTGATTAAGTTTGACTGGTCTAGTCCACAACCCAAACTACGTATATTTATTTTCACAATTTCCAAATTTTTTTTGTAATCTTTTTTACTTTACAAATTAAAGAGTCAAAATCTTTATAATATGTCTTCATCCCCTTCCTATTTCACAACAATGAGTCAATAATCATATTATTTCTCTCAGATGTTGTATTACTACAATTTACAAGTAATTAAAACTGCATTTTCATTTTTATGTAGCTTCATATTTGAGTAGATTCATTATAATCCTTTGCACTTACAAACTTATAAAAAATAATGTAATGTAGAATGGATTGTATATGGTAATATCAATTTGTATTTGTCTTTTTACAATAATCAAATTATTCCTTTATCTTTCACTAAATTAGGGACAAAAAAAGACAACCGATTTAGTCTTTCACATTAATTAAAGGACAGAATGAGACCACCGGCCTTGAATTGAACCGCTCTCAAAAGGATCCTTTGGCTCATCACTACGAGACAATTTTTCATAGTACGAATATTAAAAATCACCACATTGTATATTTTACCACTGCCAAATAATGTAGTAACTCAAATTTTGAATGCCTAAAGGGCAAATCTGCAGAAACAAATTAGAGGAAATGATAGATAATGAATTGAACGCCATTGTTGTACTGTTTTTTACAAGGTATCGTCGCCATTTTCATCTTTCACCATATCTTTAACTCCATCGAAAATCTCATAATCGCCAAAACCTGCACATACCGTATGAGTTTTTCGTTTGAGTATATAGTCTCACATCGAACACTCATGCTAAAAAAATATATTTTTTTCATTTTTTCAGCTAAAATATTAAAATTAAGTGCACAATTTACCTGCACCCAATGCTTCAAAGTCATCTTCAACTTGAGGTGACAAGAGCACGGCGTTAGACGAAGGTGGGTCCACAACCATCCAGTCCGAGCTTGCTGGTTCGTACAAGCACGGCTCCCTCTCCGAAACCCAGTCCTTAACGAAGGGTAAGTTTTCGTATGAAATGGGGTCCATGGAGCCATCATCTCTGCTCTTATTGCCATGATGTTCCCTATAAATGGAAAGTTGTAGTAGAGAGAAATTATGTTATTCTCCTCAGCCAAATCTCTGCTCTTATTGCTATGATGTTTTTTTTGTACCTCAAGTGTAAATTGGACTGTAAAAAGACAATGTCCTTGAGCCTTTGATGCTCTATGGAGTTACTGGTTTCATGCATCTGCTCCAAATGAGCTTGCTTTGGCTTGGCATGGCTCATCAAACTACACGTTTGGCTTAAGATGCGAATAGCCAAACGTGATAAATTCGGACACCCCCCGCCGTATGTTGACCACCACTCACCTACAATGATTCAACAAAAATATCACATAAATGCCCTTTTGTGCAGCAAACTCTGCAATGAAAAAGTCTATCTACTTCCAAGTAGGGGTAAAGTCTGCATACGCTCGCCCACCAGGCCCTACTTTAGCGGGATTTTATTGGGTTGTTTGGTGTTGTTTTTGTACTAAAAGCAATACAAATTTCACATGCATTTTGATCATATGACAAAAGAGTTTCACATTAAAATAACAATATGACAAAAAAGCTAGGAAATTTTTAATAAAAGGAAGCTCACCAGGAAATAGAGTGTCTCTAGCACGGACAGCCATCTTGCGCCCAAAATCCCCAGCAGCATTCTGGTAAGAGGAAGTTTCCTTAACAATCTTGTCTTGAATGTTCGGGTCGGGAACCAATCTCTCTATGCAATCATACACCAAGGACCTCAAATGGAGGTGAACGTCTTCCACGGTGGCGTAAAAGTACCTCGGGTTGAGGTAAAACCCCGCGGCGTGGAGTGGGTGCCGCTGCAGCGGGGCCCACCTGTGGTCTATAATGTTCCAATAAACCAAGTAGTCGTTTTTGTCAGCGAGTTCTTTCTTGATTGCTTCTTTTGCCCGGTAGAGACCCGCGTAAACATATCCCATTGCAGGGCGTTTCTTGCTCCCCACTATCCTTAAAAGTCTCAAGAGTGGGCCCGTGAGGCGGGTTATCAACGTGCAGCTGGACCAGAACGACTCGCTGCCAATCAAATCCAGGACCGAAAACCCCTCGGGCTTCTTTGAATGAGGACTGTCCATCCACTCCACAGAAGTAACCATTGATTGCAAATGTTGCCTGATGTTTAACATTTTATTTAATGTCAAGAAATCGGTTGATGAACGCGTCGCGCCCAAGTCAACCATGTCAACTCCAAAAGTATGCTGTCTCATCAAATTCAAGATGTTGTTATTGTTATAGATAAACCTAGATATAGTTTTAGCTTGCCCTAGAGTTTCGTTTACCCATCCGAGACTTGTGATGTCATCGAGCATCGCGTCGATGCATTGGGAAGCACATGGGGCCAAGAAAACTGTGGGGTAAGTGTCGCTCACCCTTTGCCCTGCTTCTATGTACCGTTCTTCGTTGCTTGTGATAATTTGCAAGACATTTCTGACCCCTACCTCCTCCACCACGTCTCTAAGCAATCCGTATAAGGTTTCAGTAGAATGTACCATTTCAGAGGTGTCCACTGACCTCAAGAACATAGTCCCCTCTAGACAATGCACCGAGAAGTTTAAGACGGATTTGCCCCTCTCAGTTGTCGACTCGTCGACCAAAACCGAACACCCGGTTCGCGCCCACGTGTTGGAGCATCTGCTGACTTTGTTCCTCACTTCTTGGATTGAGTTCTTCAAGATCCAAGATCTTAGTTCGTGGTAAGTGGGACCCATTATCCCCGGTTCTTGAGAAGCGATCGCGTCAATCATAGGCTGGAAATAAGGAGACTTCACGGCTTCAAAGGGTATCCCCGCATCAAGTAAAAACCTCGCAATCACCATATGAACTTGGTCATTAGCCCTAGTGATGGCGCCATCCACAACCTCTTTACTAGTTATCGCCTTCCTAATCCTCCCCTTCTTCTTCCTACCTGTAACTTGGTTGCTTGTTCCCTCTCCCTCGTCTTGGCATCCAAACGCGCCAAAACTTTGCTCAAGCGAATCCACCACAGGAAGCAACTCGACACCAGGGCTCAATTCACTTAAAGGCTCAATATTTCCGCTAAGGGCAATTTGGGTATCGAGTTTTTGCTTCTTCCTTCTCTTCAATGCAGCCCCATTTAAGCTCTCTTGCATTAAAATCCGAACCTCGGGCTGAACTCTCATACAAGTAGAGGCATTTCCCTTCTGCCCAGCAAGGTGTTCTTTAATCCTATGAATCCCACCACCCTTAAACACCTTCCCACAATATACACACTTTAGTTGAACCCTATCACCATTTTTATACATTTGACAATGCTTCCATGCTGGGTCATGTTTTTGTGAAGTTACAGGTATGGGCTCCAAATTCGAAGCCATAATTACATCAGATTCCCAAGAATATCTTCTCTTTAAATTATTAAAAACCCAATCTTTCCTAAACAAAACAAAAACTTTCTAGGGTTTCATAGATATCTGCCCAATCTTTCAATTCAAGATCCCACAAATGGAGAGCTCAGCAGAGGTTTCATTCAAGAAAACCCAGAATTTCTGGAGGGAGAATATGGGATAAAGAATCCAGCTTTAAAAAGAGGGGGTTCAAGAAAGGAACTTACCGGGTCGGGTTGAGTCGGGAACTGGCACAAACAGAGATTGGGGCGACCGAGTTAAAGGCGGAGGATTTGGGTTATGTGAGGTAGGGGTGTAAACGGATTTTAATCGGATCGGATGTGCTATTACCAAATCCGTATCCGTTTACTTTTGTCGGATATCGAATTCGGATACGGATCTTGACGGATATTGAAAAATCATAACCGTATCCGCATCCGTCGGATATCGGTCGGATATCGGATATATCCGTATCCGTTTCCAATTTTGAAAACTAAACTAAACAATACTTGAATTTTCAATTAAACTAAATTAAAATATTATTAAATCAACTATAATTTTTTATGGGATATTTATTTTCTTATTTTTTATAGTTTATGATATTATACGANTATAAAAATGTCTTATACTTTGAGATATCTATAGAAAAACAAAATATAAAAATAAAAAATTAGGAAAGACCATATATAACGGATCGGATACACGGATAAACGGTTATTTAAACGGATGTCAATGCGGAGCGGATTATAAACGGATCGGATGTATGATTACCAAATCCGTATCCGTTTAGCAATCGGATATCCTTAATCGGATACGGATAATAACCGTTTTTAACGGATGCGGATATTTTCTATATAAACGGATACGGATGCGGACGGTAATCGAATTTTCGGTTATCCGTTTACAGCCCTAAATTGTGAGGATTGGCTGAATCGACGGAAGACCGGACAGGCGGGTTAAGATGGTGATAAGGTCGGTCCGGTTTGACCCGATGATCCGGTCCGATTTGGGTGAATAATAATGAGGAATAATTGTCCGGTTTGGTGAAGCCATGCAACCGGCAGCTCCGGTAAGGCGGTTTTCTTTTTAAATATAAGCCGGACGCCTATGGGCCTCTTTTTGTTCTCGGCGGTAAACACATAAGCTTCCGTCTGGACCGGAAATTGTGTGGATTTTTTTGGTTTTTTTTATCAAATTTTTTTAACTTGTAGAATGTTTATTAAATACTCCGTAGAAACATTCTGATTCATACGGAGTATATTTTTAAAAACACGAAAGGTAAACTTGTAAAATTTATTTATGTATGAACAAAAAAAGGTGTATATTCTTTTTTGAATAGTGAAGTGTAGATCTAATTCAGTGATAAAATGTTCACATTTCTTTAAATTTATAAAAAAGAAAAAGCAAATGAGAATTTAATTTGAGAAAAAAAGACTTTCGTAGAAAATTAATTTTCATTTCAGAAAGTTCTTTACATTATTTTTTATTTGTCCCGAGATAAAATTTCATTTTTCTTTTAAAGAAATGTTTATATGGCTTACATCATTTCTCTTTTACATAACTAAAAACAATGTAAAAACATTCTAATAAATATTATAGTAATAGCTTAAAATTATTTCTCTTAGTACTCCACTGTATATGTCTTAAAATTATTTAAAAATTTAAAATAAAATATTATAGTAATAGCTTTAGTATATAATCTATATATATTCTAATAAATTATTATTTTTAATGCTAATTCCAGTACTTATTTAAATGGTTTAAAAATAAAGCTCAATAATCAGTTGAATTGACCCAAATCCAATGATACTGGACACAAACATTTAATTTTTAACCCGAACCTGACTTGGTCGACTTATTTATCAACTCTAAAAGGATATATACTTTTTTAGTGGAGTTTTGACCACTAATAAGAATAGTTGATTGAGGAACTAATGTGCTTATTGAAGTAGTGTGCTTATTATTATGGAAAAATTACCCAAAATAATCCCAACTTTACCTAGTCTTTCAAAAATAATCTCACCTTTCACTGTGATGCATAATAATCCCAACTTTACTGAAATTTGCCAGTTTTGGGTCACCGTTAAGTTTCTAACGGAGGGTTAACGGAAATGCCCATTTTAGGCAACAAAATAAAAGTTGGGATTATTTTTGATGAATTTTCATTTTTTTTAAATTTTTCATTTAAATATTTTAAATTACTTTCTACCTCCATCATCATTTCTTTTTCCTTTTTTTAAAGATTAGTCTTAGTTTAAAAAATAAAAATAATAGATATAAAAAATGAAAAAATGAGAAATGTAACTAAAATGATATAAAAATAATAAAATAAATAAGGTAATCAATGGAAACTAACATGAAATTGGTAAAAGTAAAATAAAAATATACGGGTGGATTTTAATATTTTACGCATTATACAAAGTATTAACATATCACTTCTTATTTTTTAGAAAAAATTATTTACAATAATTCCAACTTTACCGGATGGCTTGTTCTTTTAAAAAATAAGTAGTACATTAAGACTCCGTATAGTGTGTAAAATGTTAAAACCACCACTCAGTATATATTTATTTTATTTCTTACCAGTTTCTGTTTAATTTCTATTGATTACATTATTTATTTGATTAATTTTGTATGGTTTTAGTTATTTTTCTCATTTTCATTAATTTTTATATCTATTTTTTTCAGGTAAGAATAATCTTTAAAAAAGAAAAAGAAATGGAGGTTAAAAGTAATTCAAAAAATTTAAATAAAAATTTCAAAAAAATTAAAAAACAAAAATTCATCAAAAATAATCCCAACTTTTATTTTGTTGCCTAAAACGGGCATTTCCATTAACCCTCCATTAAAAACTTAACGGCGACCTAAAATTGGCAAATTTCAATAAAGTTGGGATTATTATGCATCACAGTGAAAGGTGGGATTATTTTTGAAAGACCGGGTAAACTTGAGATTATTTTGGATAATTTTTCCTATTATCATTTGAAAAGTAAACTTTTTATTAGTTATTGAGGATTTTTAGCATATGATAAACCTGAATTTGTCGGATCTAACACCCATACAAAAAGATCAAATCTCATGCACCAAATAAGAAGGATTTGCCTCAAAGAAACTCACTCCTCAACTAGGCTGTCTCTTAAGGCAAAACTATCGTGTGCATTCTACGTTTCTGAAACAAAAAACCCCCCACTGCTAGAAAAAACTCGTAGCACCACCAAAAAACCAACGCAAAAACCAAATAACCAAAGCTTGCTTTGAACGTACGCAAACCAAACCATACCATTTTTCAACTTCGCATGCATTTACACTATCGAACACGGTGGCTATGGATAGTGTAAATGAAGGCTAAGAATGGCAGACTATATCTTAGGCACATAACATAAAATAACACTTCCATTCCTTTCCCATTCTAAAAATAAACTCCCAACCACTGCCCAAGGCACACAATGGTAAGCACTTTACACCTATTTGCAGCATTAAAACAACGAAACCATGTTTTCAAGGTAAAGTCCCAAGTAGATTTTGGAGACATATAAGTGTATAAAATCTACCTTCCCATCCTCACAAGGTTTTGGGATGAGAAATAAATGGTGCCAAAGTATATTACGGAGTAATATTTTCACGCAGATTTGAGCCAAATAGTCCTTGTTTGAGAGGGTGTTGAGACTTGTGCATCGTTTGGATATTCCAACGCGATATAATTGAAGGATCAAAAGAAAGTTATAACAGATTTTATAGCACGCAAAGAGTGAACGTTCCATTATAAATAAACAAATAAAAACAGAGGGAGAATTGTTACAATTCCGTACATCAGTAAACTCAGCTATTCCTAGAAACCACTGGCTCTGCACATGGCAACATTTTACAGTCACAGGCTAACTTTCTTTTTTCTTTTACCCTTCTCTGTACACTCTTCAAACTTGCACAGTCAACTTCATAGTATACTTCTCTCTCCACACAATGGCATCAGTAAAAACGTTTTACCATGGGAGCCTTAACCTGATTCTCTAGATAAAGTAATATACTCAAACTACCAAATTTACATGTTTGTAAGTACAACCAGTAGAAGCTTTTATTTCTGTAGTTCGCTTAGCCACCTTATCTTACGAGACAAATGGCTAAAGCTGGACACAGTGAAAAAAAAGAAGAGAGGAGAGTCACACTAGCCTCAGTTAACTGTACAGATTCCTTTTGACCTTTTTATATGCCGCCTATGCAGAATACGAAGACAGAATACCGATCCTCCTCTCTGCAATATAGATTGAACATATGATTGAGCCATGAGGGTGATACATATAAAATTTATATATAAAAAAATCAATTTGCATTTGAAAAAGAAAGCAGCTAAACAAGCAATGGTGATATGTGGGGACAGTACATTTGGGCCCAGTTTCCTTAAAATTGTCACTGTTTTTTTCATTTCTTTTCCAATATGTGCATGTTGATTTTATGATATCAACCTCCCTGCAATTTATAATTAGGGGTAAAGGTTCTGAGTACAACCACCCAACTACCCAAGACCATTTCACTATGTGGTTTGTTGCTGCTGTTACTGCTGCTGCATGAATTAAGTGACTATCTCAAGTCTTTAGTCATTACTGTCTCATGCTATTTTTGAAGAGTGAAAATACCCTACAATGGTGAATGCGTTGGAACTTCATTTCATTGTTCTTTTGTGAGAGGAAGGGCACCCAATGTAGAACTTTGCTACTAAGAGCATGTTCTTTAGGGCTGGAAAAATATAGCTGGATGTTGGAAGAAATTGGAAAAACTTAAAGGAAATGGAGAAATAGAAGAAACTGGAAAAACTGGGGAAAAAAATTTCAAAAATTCATGTAAGTGTATTTTACTTAGTATTCTTATTATAATTGTTGTTGTTTTTATTAGTGTTGCAACAATTTAGTGTTGACTAATTTCAGACAATTAATCAAGACACTGAAGTTCTTTAAGAAATTCAAAATGTAGGTGATTGTAAGAGGGAAAAGCAAAGTACCTCCGGCTGCAACAAGTTTCTCCACACGGGCAACAATATGCTTCCCGTAAGTGTATTTCTTCAAGGCGTTCAAGTGGTCTTTTACTCGGTTTAGGATGAGTTCAAGTTGCTGGTCATCACAAGTCTCCAGCACTTTCTGTACAACATAGTTTGCAAATTGGTCTTTCATCATTATCTGTGCAAAAGATCATCATGAAATTAGTACACACACAAACAAAATGTATAACAAAAGTAATGGAAACCAGCCTTGAATGTGAAACTTTAAATGATAATTTAAATATAGGTTTATAATTTTACTCTTTCATAAGATTGCCTAGTTACTACTGCAGCAAACATCGTGAACGAACCATATCACCATATATATTCATATATAATTATCTACATTTTATCTATTTTCCTTGTTCCTTTTAGTTGTCCGATTACAAAATCCACATGCATTAACTTTTTCCTGAATTCACCCTTATACTTTTCAATTCACTCTTTCCCAAAAACATAGAAGGAAGGCGGCTTTTTACAAAAGCATTAAAGTTTTGATTAATTTATTATCCCACTACATTTTGTAAAACCACGTGATCTGATTAACACTGACAAATGAATTAGAATGAAGGGAGCCAAGTGGAAGTCCGAATTTAAGTATATTTATTTTGGTTATGTAGTCAAGCAATCATATACAAAAAAAGGACTGATTATTCCAAGTAAAGCATTGCTCATTTAAATTAAAAAAAAAAGATCATGAAGGGCGAATGCCAGAAATCCACAAACCTGAAGAGGTTCATTTTCATCAGGAGACCCCAGCATCTCATTTACCAAGGTCTGGCGCTCTTCAGGAGTACCAAAAGTTAGGCATTTTTCCACAACATTAGAGGCAAATTTCTGCTGGCTCATCTGAACTATTTTTCCCTTCAGCGTATTTATTATAGAGGAACGCTCATCTGGCTTTCCATGCTCCAATACATGCTGTAGTACAACAAGGCACGTTCTGTTAGAAGGTTTCATTACTTATTCAAATATGGATAAAAGGGGCAAATCCTGATTCCCTTCCACTTTTAAAACCCATTAAAGACAATTTAGGGAAAAACTCATTCAGCTAAAAAAGAAACCAGAACTGCTTTAGTCAATCTCCAAGGAATCCTCAGTTACGCATCATTAAGTGAACAGAGCCCAAATATGGAAGAGATGGAATGCCAAGTACACACTCATTTCATTAAATATTACTTGAAGATAGTGGTTAGGTTAATCAAAAATAAGATTGAAATGATAGCCAGCACAGCAAGATTCTTGAAAATAAAGTGCTAACCTGAACAACATAATTCCCATATTGATCTTGAGCCAACATACTGACAGATTGCAAAACCTCACGCATTACAATGTCTTGCGTTTCAGCACGGTGGCAATGCTCAAGAACTCTCTGTTTTGAAAAGGAACAGGATTTAGATTCAAAGAACTCATTTTCCATCGGACCATAGTAACTATCAATAATTAGATACAACGAACCAATAATAGGCAGATGCAGTAAATTAATTTTCTGGACCTGTATAACCCTACACCCATAAGGATGGGTGGATAATGTCACTACTTGGTCATAGAAGGTAGTAACGATAAACTGAATGTTATCGTCTGGAACACATTCTATACACTTCTGGATAACATGATTCCCATTCTGATCACGTACACAGCGCATAATGTGTCCATCAAGCTCTGAAACCATTCTTGTCTTTTGGTCCAACTCAACAACCTCTATTGCCTGAAATATTCACAAGGCAACATCTGAAGCCAACTAGCCAAGACCTACAGCAATATTTCTTCGGACTAACTGAGATAATAGTTCATTATTTCAGAAAGCATGTGACTAATAGCTAAGATCAGCATCCTATCAAATCAAACTTAATACAGGTCAATTTAGATGCAGCCAGAGATCATACAACATTTTCTACAAAGGGGTAAGGTAAAACCACTTACATCTTGAAAATTATAACCATTTTTTAAAGCCTAACGTAAAAGCACATTTAAGGGTTTTTCAAACATAAAGAACATCAACATAGAAATACAAGCTATTATAGAATTCACTTGCTATCTGAAGTTGAAAAAGTTTCTAACGCAACTCAGATTATAGAAAATGATGCACTTAATGATCATGTCGCCTGGTAGGACCAAGCAGGAATTTGAAAATAATAGAAATAAGAAAGATGTTTTGCAAGTCTTGAAATCATACAAGATACAAACAACAAAACAAGCTATAAAATATACAGAAAGTTAGGGTGCATGGAGCATTATAGATTATTTTGAATTTTTAATAGAGCAGTAAGAACTAAGAATATTGAGGTAAAGAATTTATCAACTCAGCCACTTAGTAGGAATGAAGATACCTTTTGGATAACTCGGCAGCCATACATTTGAAGACTAAGGTTGAGAACATGGCCTGTGAGCTTGTCAGCCAGTTCTCTTATCTGAGCAGCACTTCCATGCTCAAAAAACTAATAGAGATAAAAGAACAAAGAATATGTGAACAGAGGTTATGCTACAGATAACAAAAGCATGCACGTATGACAAACAAAGACCTACCTTCTGGATCACATAATTGCCGAACACATCAGTCATTAGGATAAGAGCATGTGGCAAAATTTCATGGAAGACCATGTTTTTCTCCTCAACAGTAGCAGTCTCAAGCTTTTGCTGAATGAACCGGCTTCCATATTGATCAGCACTGTCATAATTTGGAATAAATAACTTAGATTTCTATTTTTTTGATGAATAAAAGAGAAAAACACTGAGCATGAATCTATACCTAAATTCAACAACATGACCATCAATCTCCAGTAACTCTAAACATTTAGTTTTACTGCTCTTGAACTCGTCTAATAATGAGGATGCATAACTCTGCCCCAGGTAAGAAGCTGAATCAGAGTGCCAGGCCCCCATAACGCCAGCACCTAAGTTCTGCATGCCTGATCCAAAATGAACATTTCTTCCACCATACCTTACCGGACTACCTGGTCCAAAAGGAGAATTCGGAAGAATAGAACCTGCCAAAGGGCTTCCAGGGTACGACATACCAACACCAAGTGTTGGATTTCCATAGTAGGCGTGATTTAGGGCACAGGTTTTGTTAAAGCTTGAAAAGTCATACTGTGGTTTTTGTGAAGCAAGTGATCCCAAGTGAGCTTTCTGAATTTCGAGAAACCCCATGTAAGAATTGCGCAGAGATTCCCTGTTAATAGTTGGATTGTTAAAAGCTGTTAGGCCACCATCAGAAAGCTCAGTCGATTGCAAGTACTGAAGATAATGTGGATCTGTCATGGGATTTTGCATAGAAATCCCCGAGTTGGAATTCCTAAGTCTATAGAGATTTTGCATTTCAGAAGCTGCTAATAAATTAGGTCCCAAACTCAAGCTACCTCCCATTGATAGTGAGTCAATTCTAGATGCACTCCTTGCTGTTCCAGCAACACCATCATCAGATAAATAAGGCAAATGATCACTTTCAAATTGGTTTTCCAACATAGATGGTGATGAAGGATTCAAGCCATAACTCCCCATCCCATATCCAAAAGGCATTGAGTTTGGACTTTCAACCTGCGGAAGCTGAGTTGGCGAGCTTCCAGGACTATTACCAAGAGTTTGTGTATAGGAGCCTATCAAGTGTGAACCAGCGGGGAGAGCACCAGGCTTACTCAAGAGAGAGTGTTGCCTAATATGATTCTTTCCATTCTGCATGTGCAAGTTCTGCTGTTTATGAGTTTCATGATGGATTCGATGCTTTAAATTCCTTAGAGGCTTTAGGTGGTCTTCTTCATGAACTATATTATTATCAGAGAGGCCCATGCCAGACAAGGCAGCAACTAAATCTGCAGGCTCATCCATACCGTGTGAGGCATCAACAGCAGCACATGAATTTATGACATTTAGCTTTTCGGGTGAACCTTTTGTCCCAGACCCAACCGGCAGAAGTCGTGGGCTGGGAGCTCTAGCAATAAGTTGAGGGTCTGGGGTAGTACTTCTTGAGAGTGAAGAGCCTCCAGCAGAAGCATAAGCATGAGAGCAAGATGAGCCAATGTTTTGCAATGCATCGAAAGATGGCAGTTCATGTTGGAGATCAGTAAACTGAGGGTCAGAAGACTCACTGAAATCATTGAGTGCACAGCTGGCAGGTCGAGATGGATGTCTTGAAGTAGACTTTCTGTAACTTATATCATCCTACATAAGTTTTAAAAACATTAAAGCAACAGAGCCAGAAAGAAATGTAGAGACGTAAACCACTACAGCACAAACAATAACAGCACATGCAAACCATGGAATATCAAAACAAACAGCTAAAGAAGCAATCACACTAGATGTATGGCAATATACAGGTAAAATTGGTAAGATTGGAATACTAATCCTAAAAAACTGTATTTCATATGAACAATAAAGCAATATAAAGATATTGAAAGATCTTAGCACCCGAGCAGAAGAGCCCAGCCTCAAAAATAATTTAATCACATTAGAGTTCAAAACCACATGAGTAATAAACCTGAACTAGCAAAAAAAATCAGAACTTAAAGGGTAAAGACTAATATGCAAATGCTAACAACTCTAACGCTAACAACCATTCAACCAAAAGCATGACTATCATTTTAGAAAACTCTCATGTCCCTTCACCTGAATCATTTCGGCTATGCTCTTCTGCCTGCTTCCCGAACCCAATCCGGGCAATCCAATCAATCCATTTGAACCCCAGTCCTTGGGGGATTCAGTTCCATTTTCTTCATTTTTTCCACTGAACCCCATCTGCGCAGAAAACAAAGACTTCTCTCTGGCTGCTACGCCGCCCCCCATACTTACCCTACGCCTGTCTCCAATCCCACCTAGTGATAGCTGACTCCCACCTCCTCCACCGCCGTTACTCGCTCCGGCGCCTTGAAGCCGCTGTGCAGATCGCCAGTCCTCCTTGGACAACAGAGGCGGGGGGAGCCGGGGGTTTAGATTCACGTTGGAGTAGTAATAAGAAATGTATGCAGGATCAGACCTCAGTTCCTCCTCCGAAACTCCATTAAAATTACCTCCCCCTGCGCCTAAAATACCACCAAACGCGCTCAACGATCCTTCCACCGTAGGTGGGGCCGAGCCGCTCCTGTAAATACTGAGCTCTCGCTCTCGATCATTCGCTTCCTCTACCTGCCGACTCTGCTCTCTCAGCATCAACTCTAGCTCCTCGCGATAATCGCCGCCGCCGGCAAGCATTGATCGCATTCCAACTTCAGATAACATCTTCGAATAGCTATCAGTGATCATTGGGAAAACAAATACACACACACACACACAAAATACTACGAGAAATCCAAACGACCAAAACAAAACTTTTCCGAAACTAAAAATTCAAGCTCTAGAAATCCATTGAATTCATCGGGAAAAAAGCTCGAAAAAACTCGCAGAAATCCCACTTTTCCCCGCAGAAAATTACGATTTCAAGATGAGATTTCAAGAAACCAATCCAATTCAACGAGCTGAATCGGGGAGATCATGCTAGTAAGCGGCGATCGTTATCAGTTGGAGCCATAAAGCGATGGATTCTGAGAGCGAAAAAGTGAGGGTTTTGCGAGAGAGAGAGAGAGAGGTGCGGAGAATTGTGGAAGTTCGAGGTGGACTGATATGAGCGCGAGTGCAGGAAGATCTTGGACCGTTGGATTATGACATCGACGGTGGAGATCGAGAACCTCAGTAGGGTTTTCTTATTTCCAATACACGGAGTGTGATAGATACTTAACACACTGTTCACCGGTCAAAATCATTTTTCTTTGAGCAATTCTAGTAGTACACCTAAAAGTGTACCCCAAATGTACATCACCTCCTTCTCCATCATATATTTTTATTTGATTTTTATTTACTTATTTTTTTAAATTTTTTTACCCTTTTAGTGGACAAGGAGAGGGTGGGAGACATATGGGGTACACCTTTTTCTTTCTCTATTCATTTTTGTTTTTTGTTTGAGCTATGGTAGGAGTACCCCATTTGTCCCTTAGAAATCATCCTAAATATGACTAAAACATAGAGAAAAGTACCAAAATAGGATTTTCATGTTTTTTTCCCGGAATAAGACTTTGCACTGTGGTAATGTGACTTTGCATTGTGGTAATGTGGCAGTGTACATGTGCAGATTACTATACTTTTTTGGTAATGTATATGACCATGTTTGGTAATGTAAGTCCTATTTCGGAAATAAAAACATGGAAGTAATATTTTGGTATGTTTTCAATGTTTTATTCCTACTTTGGTCCAGAACCGCGGGTTTTGGTACCGCCTACCGTCGCCCAAGGTGCTAGTGCTAGTTCCACAATCGGTGGTTCTGGTTCTAGTTATGGACCGTTTTATGTTCTTATTTTGTTTTTTGTACAAGTTTAACCTTAAATTAATTTTCATGTTTTTCCTTGTTTTACACTTGTAGGAATAAATTAGTCTATTTATAATAATAGATGTAGATTTAGCCAAAGTCTGAATGGATTTAAATAGAAGATAATAAACATCATATTTCTTATTTTAGTGTTTGTAAATACTGTTATTACACTCTATTTGAGGATTTATTTAATATATTTGTATAAAACAATCGAATTAATTTTCATGGTTTACATATTATAAATTTTTATGTTTACATTTTACCAAAAAATTGGACAACATTGTGTGTGTATGTCTAACGTACACACGCATACACGCACTCACTCACACTTGCCTATTTTTGTGATAAGATTTGGATGTGGTAGGCATCACTGAACTAGGTCATAAGACATTATGTAATTTAATCGGTTAAATATTTCAATTCAAGATCTTAAATACTTTTATAGATTTTTTTTAATTTTACGATATGAAATATACTATAACACTATCTCTCGAATGAATAATTGGACCATTTTGAATCTAATCGGTTGATCATTTACAAATGAATTTCCATGTAACACCCAAAACACACCCTAGCTAAAAATATACGGAGTAACACTTTAAACAAAAAATGAGAATATGAAAATTTTAAACTAAATGATCCTTCGGCCAATTTTGTTTTTTCTATAATTTCCCGTTTGAAAAATTATCATTTTTGGAATAGTTCGACGGTATGAATATCCCGAGTTTATCATTTGAGAAATTAAACATTGAGGGTTTGACTGAAACAAATGGCGAAGGTTCAAGTGAATAAAAATTGTAGAAGGGTTGAGTGAATAAATATACGGAGTAGCAAATTGTTGGCGGTATCTATGCATAATAATGATGTGTAATAAATTACTCCATCCGTCCATGTATGATCTTCCCATTATGCGTTACGAGGCTTGACTGACTTTATTTTCAATTCAATTTAATTGATTATAGGAGTAAAATTTTAAAATAAAATTTATATAGTAATAAACTACATGAAAAGTTCTACAAAACTAGATGTGACAAGACTATATTATTTTATAAAATGACTAATAAAATTGAGCAAACAAAGTGAATAAAGTTTGATCATGTGAATAGTGTCTGGGAAGATCTATGGTGAACATAGGGAGTAATTCATAATGAGTGTTTTTAATTCTACATGATAAAAATTTACCTACAATTTGGATTTCGTATCATACCCACATGGGCACGGATGAGTTGCCATGTGGTTTGGAAGCCATGAAGCTTAACCACACATGCTAAATATGACTACATATTTTTTTCTATGTATTACAGTACTCGAAAGAAAAATTGTGGAATAATTTTTTAAAAATGAGAATCATTAGTGTATTAGTCCCTTCGTCTTAGTTTTCATTACAATTTCACATTCTCCCGCTTCTCGATAATTTTTATTTATTTGCATATTTTTATTAAATATTTGATAAAATAAAATATCCTTGTCATCTCTAATTTTGTAGAACTTTTGATGTAGTTTTTTGATATGTAATTTTTTTTCTTATTGATGTACCATTTTAATTTGTAAATAAAATAATTTAAAAAATCGTTAGAGTTTACCTCATAATTCCCATTTTGTAATCAAAATGAGGATGGAGGGATATCTTTTGTTTGTGTATGTGTTTATCTAATAAGTGAAATTTACAATAAATAGCATTAAAATATAAATAATTTCTCAATGTAGCAATTCTTTTTTTCCCTTAAATATTACTCCCTCCGTCCAGAAATGTTCTTCCCGTGTTGACTTGGCACGCTTATTAAGGAATAGTAAAAAAATACAAAATTTTTAAAAATGCACATACTATAAACTTTTAAATCGCCTTTTATTATTAAAAAAGTATTAAAAAAGTAGATTTGTGATAAAATAGAAGGGAATTATTGGTATTTAGCCTTAAAAAGCATACTAAAAAAGGAAATGAGAAAATTATTTCCGGACGGACCAAAAAGGAAAATGAGAAGAATATTTCTGGACGGAGGGAGTACTTGAATAATATCTAGTGGTGAGAACAATATCCAGTGATGATGGACATTGAGCTTGAACAATGTCCTGTGACGATAGATATTTATTTGAACAATGACCAGTAAAAATTGAAAGTGGTATTATATTAGGAAATAAAAACTTATGATACTTAAGTTGAAAAAGTCATTATGTTTTAATACGGAGTACTATTTATGTAAATTCTACATCTAATAATTGAAAAGTAAATAAAGAGTATGAAATTTAACATATGAAAAATCACGTGTAAGAGATTACTTTATAGTCATTTTTTAAAAAATAAAACAAATTAGCACCTTCTGGTCAATAAAATATTTACATGTCATCCTTAGCATATTATTCAAAGTCGACAAACGAACATTTCACAAAATTCGCAAACTTACCTTTTTAACACTTTCCTAGAAATAAGATGCACTCAAATGATAAAAGATATTTTAATTTAAAATCCACAAAAAACAAGTTTGTGAAGTTTGTAAACTATATGTTGGTGACTCTAACATTTTCCAATGTACAATCACCTTTTCGATTGACACGCGCCCTTTAATCACCCAAAGTTTACGTAGTCATATTATTTATAATTCCAAATTTACCCTCCATTTCAAATCTTATTCCCTCTCCCATCCCTTTTCATATACTCCTCTCCCAAAGTCCGAATCTCTCCCCCAGTCGCAAACCCGTCTCTCTCAATCCACCGTCTGACCGTCGCCGGAATATTCTTTACGGTTTTCCGGTTAACTTCTCTTTACGTCTCCCTCACTATCTACTTAGTTTATTTGGCCCAGAGCTTCGATTTTTTCTCAGGGTTTGTTGAAGATCTGAGGATTGGGTTTGAATTTTCGCCTGAAATTCTCGCCGTGGACGGAGATGTCCGCGTCTTCGACGTATTGGTGCTACCGATGTGATAGGTTTGTCAGATTTTGGGGCCCGGATTCGGTGAATTGCCCGGATTGCGACAGTGGGTTCATCGAGGAAATCGACGCTCCGACCAGATCCTTGCTCCCGGAATCGCGCCGGAGTCGTTTTCCGACGCCGGCCTCGGATTTAAACGTCGGGTCGGGTTCCGGTTCCAGCCCGCGCGTTCGAAGGAGCAGGAGGAACGGGGGCGACCGCTCGCTGTTCAACCCTATTATAGTGCTCCGCGGGTCGGGCGACGGCGGTGACGGTGGCGTAGTTGACGGCGGTGGCGGTGGAGGATTCGAGTTGTTCTACGATGATGGGGCGGGGTCAGGTTTGCGGCCGTTACCGGCCAGCATATCGGATTTCCTTCTCGGGTCGGGTTTCGACAGGCTTCTGGATCAGTTGACCCATATGGACCCTAATGGTCTGGGCAGAGGCGACGACCCGCCGGCTTCGAAATCGGCGATCGAGTCGCTCCCGACGATCGAGATCGTCCGATCCCACGTTTCCGCAGAGCCCCATTGCGCCGTCTGCAAGGAAGCCTTCGAGCTCGGGAACGAAGCTCGCGAAATGCCCTGCAAGCATCTCTACCACTCCGATTGCATTCTTCCCTGGCTCTCCCTGCGCAATTCCTGCCCCGTCTGCCGCCACCGGCTGCCGGCGGACACCCAAAGAACCTCCGGCGACCCAAACCCACGCACAGGGGCTGACGACGACACTGTGGGATTGACAATATGGAGACTGCCCGGAGGTGGGTTCGCCGTGGGGAGGTTTTCCGGCGGGGAGAGAGAGCTTCCCGTCGTCTACACAGAAATGGACGGCGGGTTCAACAACAATGGAGCTCCGAGGCGGATTTCATGGGGGAGCAGTGGAACGGTGTCTAGACAAAGTGGTGGGTTTATTAGGAGAGTTTTCTTCAATGTCTTCTCGTGCTTGGGTGGGTCGAGCTCTAGATCAAGTTCAAGAATCATTCGCAGTAGTTTGGTGCCATCCTTTTTCAGCTCTGCTTCAAGAAGACGAAGGAGATTGGGTTTGTGACTCCATTAATGGGGAGCTCAAGAGATGGCACTGTAAATAACTGGTTTCAGAGCAATTTTGACTCAATGGTAAAAACATCAAAACTAGCAAAGTCACTATGAAAGTGTGGATTAAGATAGTCATTGATTGATTGGTTACATTGTAAGATGGTGTTTTGGGAACAAATTTTGAACTTCTATTTAGTCCAAATGGAGTATTCTTATGGTTTAAAACTTCAATTCCTTCAAATGTGCAAAATAGATGCTAAAGTAGCAAGTCACTATGAAAGTATGGATTAAGATTGGTTACATTTTAAGATGGTGTTTGGGGTTGTGTTTAAAAACAAATTTTGAATCTCTATTTGGTCAAATGGAGTATTTTGTGTTTGAAAAATATCTTTTGCTTATGGTTTATAGCTTCAAATGTGCAAAATAGATGCTAAAACTCCTAAGAGTAACTTTAAGCAAAGTTAAGATTTAAGTGATGTTTGTTTCTTGTTTCTCTCTAGTTCCCATGATATTGTATTTCTAGTTTTCTTGAAATCTACCATAATCCAAAGCATCCTCTAAATGTAGTCCAAAGAATAGGTTTGAGAGAAGATCACATGCTCATGATAGAGCACGTGAGGTGCTCCATGTACAAGAAATATGTGGAACAAATTTCTCGCTTAAAGTTGTTTTATACAATTTTCGTTGATTGGCTTTGGTCGCGAACGAATTCATAATTGGCTTTGGTCGCGAATGAATTCATAATAGTGATTGAGTTAATGTCTGTCATTAATCAATGACTGTCACGTCAGATAGTTGGTGGCTATCAAATTGTCCATATACTTTTGGCAAAAGCATGGATTTTTTCTTCTTTCTTTGTTACCAAAAGAAGCTTTAGAAAAGGATGTACTAGTGTTGAAATTGGTTCATGCCATAGTAGGTTTGGAACCAAGAGCTCATGTAGTTCTTTTTCTTTTTTTTTTGTTATAGCTAGAATAGATTTATTTGTTTCTTTTTCACATGTAATTGGATTTTAGCTAATGATATTGAAGTGAAATTGAGTTTTGGCTTCCATTGGATCTTGTATGGTCTCAACTCTCAAGTCCAAACTATTCTTTTGGCTTAACCTAACCAAACAACATTATTTTAATGAAAAAGTTTATGAAACATGGATCATCTTGTCCCATTTTGTAAATCTCACTTTCCCTTTTCTATTATTATATTTAATGTTTTATATTTATGTCTATCTTTTTAAGATTCCAACACTTTTATTTTTATGTAACTTTTTTAAGAGATGCAAAACATTTGCTTATTCTGTTAGACATTTATTAAAATAAAACATAGTTAAAGTAATAGTTATTTATAATATTTTTTATTTTGTACTTATATTTAAATAAATTGAATTTAAAATAATTTAAGCCAAGTTTAATTATTTGGAATTTGATTTCTTTTTTATAGGGCCCTGCCTGCGTAATTGTGGATCTATGGGGCTTAAAAGCCAAAGCACTCTTTCTTTATCATGTGGAAGAATAATTAGATTGCTACATTTTCAGAGGAATTTGACAAATAGAGGGTGCCCTTTTATGGGATTGAAATTGAAAGACAAGTCTAATTGGAAAGAGCTTTTATTTAATGCTAGGCATCAATTTTTTTTTGATGTGATAATTCATTGTATGACACAATATTTCTAAAGATTAAATAAATACTACGGAGTATGTAGAACTTAGTAGTTATGAAATATCACCGAAAAATATAATAGTAGCTGGAATATTGGATCGTGGAACATAAAATTGATATTACACACGACATAGAATTTATTGTTGACAATCAAATTTCAACTTATAAGCTACTTATAAGTCAAATATTCTTACGGGGACCAATCTGAAAAAAATATCCAATTGCAAATGAAAATTTTAGGAATATAGTAATAAGTTTTAATTTCGTTTTAACGTCGTTTTCATGCCCGTTAGTCGGGGCTAAAATGGACATTATTCTCAATTAACGAATACTGTCTCGGCAATTAGTTCATCTTGAGGACTAATTTAGAAAAATACAGTGTTATTGAATACAATTTTGGGAATTTACTCATAATTTAATATTGCAGTATAAAATTATATTGTGACTCATACTTATTTCCCTCATTTAGTTTTTTTAATAAATAAATCTAAAGCATTCAATTAACATTCTATCAGGTCATGTATACACAATAATTAAGAGGCCATCTATCCAATAATTAATTTTAAGGTGAATATATATAAAGGGTAGGAGTGTTCATTCGGATATATTCGATCTGATTCGGTTTTTCAAATATCCAACATTTTTGGACTGATAACTATCTTTTCCATGTCCGATCTGAAAATTACCAGATACTCAAATTTCAGATCGGATCAATGAAATATCTGGGAAAATTATATATATTTTTTTTAATTTTGTTTTTTTCCCAATAATTCTAAAAAAAGTATTTAGAATGATTTTATATTTGTTAAAATAGTAGAGGTCATAAATTAGACTTTAATTCGAAGTCAACTCTATTTTAAATGTCATAGTTACGTACATACCTTGATAGTGTTATCATAAGTCATGATTTTATAAATGTATGAAAAAAAATATTAACATAATTGAGAAATAAAACATAGACAAAAAAACCAAAGTAAAAAACTTGAATTATGCTTAGATTTAAATATTTATGATGATGAAAATGAATTGGACTTAAGTTGTCTAAGCTTTATTTTTATATTCATTTTTAAATATATGAATTTCGGATATCTAAGGATATCGGAAATCTTAATATGTCATTCTATATCCGATCCGAATTTTTCGGATATCCAATCCAAAATATCCGAAAGCTAAAATATCGAATTTTTCGAATTTTTCGGATATCTATTTTTCGGAATGGGTCGAATCGGATCGTGAGCGAATGTTTTGGATCTCACACCACTAAATCTTAATAATGGGTACAAAATTAAAAGTTGGGATGCATGAGTGGTCATTCATAAGCTATATATATTGAGTTGCATGCACATGGGAAGTTTTTGGTGTTGTGTAATTAGTATAGCATGTGTTATTGTAAGTGAGACAGGCACTGCAACAAAATCTTTTGGACTGGTGGTTGTAACAAGTGCCATGTTTATTTTATGTATTGGATGCAATGCAACTCAATCAATGCACTTCACCTCCGTATATACTATTGTTTTGACAGCCTAATTTTATCAAACTTCACCTGAATATATATATATATATATATATATATATATATATATATATATATATATATATATATATATATATATATATATATATACACACACACTACCTCCGTCCCATTGTCTTTGTCCAGTTTTGACTTCTGGAACTGTTCATCTAAGCAATTTGACTCATCAAATTCTCTCAATGTGTAAGCCTAAAAATAGTCATGTGTGATCTTGTTTGATTCGTCTTAACATATAGATTATTAATATATAATTTTTATAATGTTTTAATATACAAATTACAAGATAAAATGGATTAAAGAAGTGCATTGGATGGTGTGCCAAAAGGTAAGTGGACAAATACAGTGGGACGGAGGGAGTATATATATATATATATATATATATATATATATATATATATATATATATATAACTCGCATAAATATGACCACATCAAATGAGCCTTTTTAATAATGTAACTTTACTTTTTCAAAAAAATGTACTCTCTCCGTCCCTAAATATTTGCCATATTTGTATTCCCAAGGCAAAATATCAAGCTTTTTTAATTCATTTTATTTACATATTGGTATAAAAATAAAAAATAAAATTTACATATCAAAAAACTACATGAAAAGTTCTTCGAAATAAGAGGTGTCAAGAATATTTTATTTTATCAAATAACTAATGAAAACATAGAAATAAATAAAAGTTCCCGCGACTACTGAAAAAGCAAACGTTGCAAATAATTTAGGACGGAGGGAGTAAATTTCACAAATAATACTCCCTCCGTTCGGAAATATTCTTTCCGTTTGACTTTTCTTGGTCGAAGTTTGTAAACTTTGACCATTATATGTGGAAAAAATACATTGTATTATGATATAACTTTAATATGAATATATTCATTTTGAAATATAGTTTTCAAATATCAAATGTTTATAAAATATATCCATGTATAAATAAAGATATTAGTGGTCAAAGTGTCATCTTGGAGACCGTAAAATGTCAAATGAAAAGAATATTTCCGGACTGAGGGAGTACTGTTTCTTGAAATTCCGTTGGAGGCCGGCCAACACTAGTTGTGAATATTTTCATGTTTTAATCCTTTGTGTCAGTGTCATTAAATACTAACAAATGTTTTTTAAAATTTGAAACTTTCACGCGTCTGTATGGTCAACGTATCAGTTTTAAATACTTTTGATATAGAAAAAAGAGTAGAATTTCTCGTGTAATTAGTTGAGGGCGTTTCCCATGACATTGTTTAACAATATCATGGGATATGACACGAGAGTCTTATAGTGCTCCTGACATTTCCTTTCCTTCTTAATCCATGGTAAACCCTTCCACCATGACCCGATCCGAACACACCCACTTCAACAGCACCCCACAAATTTTGAGTCAAAATTTGATTGGAAAAAATATTCCTAATTCTTTATTAGAATTTTTTTGTTGGCTTTGAAGTCAACTGCACCACATTTGTGAATTTTTTATTAGAAAAAATATTCATAATTTTTATTTTCATCTGTTCCAAACATAAGGTTTCACTTAAATTTTTTTTTAAAAACTATTCATTTTATTGAAAGGGTTAGGGGTGCATGGGTTCATGCTGGGATGGGGGTGGGTGAGGGGGGTTTACCATGGGTTCAGGGTAGGGCCGGGGTGGGGAGAAGATGTCAATTTTGTGACCGAAACATCGTATAGTAGTTGCTCCAACTAGAGCCGGTATTATCTAGAGGCTGGAGCCATTCAAAGTGAGTGACTCTCCAATATAATCCCTCCCTATTTTTTTATGCATACTTGTTTGTTTACTAAATGTAGCACAAAATTTGTTTTGACATACCGGAGTACATTTTTGTTAAAAACATTACTCCGTAAATAATCAATGAAAACAATCCTCTTTTTTTTAAAAAAAAATTGGACTTTTATTAAAACTTTCCGAAATAATAATAAAACTAGCTAGGGAGAACACTTGGGTGGGTTCATGTATATGAAGGGAGACATTGTGGACCATGATCAAGGCACAACACA